GGTGCGGCAGGCGGAGCAGCCTGGGGAGGAGGAGGAAGAGGCGGCGGCAGAGAGCGTGGAGGTACACCCCCACCCGACCGGGGTCTGGGCTGGCTCAGAAGCGGGGCCTCCGTGCCAGGGGCAGGGCCGGGGGACTGCAGAGGCGTCCTGTTCCCCTGGTGGTGGGCCCTGGCCTGCTGTGCACCCCTCTTACATTGGATTTGGATGGGGGTTCAGCTGAAAACCCCTGGACTGGTCCCTAACACACAGAGAGTGCCAGGCCCAGAGGGGCAGGGCCTTGCCGGTCACACAGCCTGGAGGTTAAGCTGGGATGGAACGTGGGTCCCTCCTTGGTTGGCACCTCAGCCCCCCAGCCCCCCTCTGTCCTGACCCTGCTGGTGCCTGAGGCGGGTGAGCTGCCCGTGCAGAGGAGGAAATGGCAGCCCCAAGCCAGATGGGAGCTGGGGGCAGTGGGCTCCCGGGGCTGCAGTGAGACTGGCCTTGTCTGCAGGACGTCTTCACGGAGGTTGTGGGCCGGAAGCGGCAGCAGCCAGGCCCTGAGCGGGGAGCGAAGAGGCGGAAGGAGGAGGCCCGGCAGCGGGACCAGGACTTCTACGTCCCCTATCGGCCCAAGGACTTCGACAGCGAGCGGGGGTGAGCGGCCAGCTGGGGTGTGTGTATGTGTGTGTGTGTGTGTTGTTGTATATGTGGTATATATGTGCCAGTGAGCGGGGGTGAGCGGCCAGCTGGGGTGTGGTGTGTGTTTTGTATATGTGGTATATATGTGCCAGCGAGCGGGGGTGAGCGGCCAGCTGGGGTGTGTGTGTGTGTTGTATATGTGGTATATATGTGCCAGTGAGCGGGGGTGAGTGGCCAGCTGGGGGGGTGTGTGTGTGTTGTATATGTGGTATATATGTGCCAGCGAGCGGGGGTGAGCGGCCAGCTGGGGTGTGTGTGTGTGTGTTGTATATGTGGTATATATGTGCCAGTGAGCGGGGGTGAGTGGCCAGCTGGGGTGTGTGTGTGTGTTTTATATATGTGGTATATATGTGCCAGTGAGTGGGGGTGAGCGGCCAGCTGGGGGGTGTGTGTGTGTTGTATATGTGGTAAATATGTGCCAGTGAGCGGGGGTGAGTGGCCAGCTGGGGTGTGTGTGTGTGTTTTGTATATGTGGTAAATATGTGCCAGTGAGCGGGGGTGAGTGGCCAGCTGGGGTGTGTGTGTGTGTGTGTTTTGTATATGTGGTATATATGTGCCAGCGAGCGGGGGTGAGCGGCCAGCTGGGGGGTGTGTGTGTGTGTTTTGTATATGTGGTATACATGTGCCAGCGAGCGGGGGTGAGCGGCCAGCTGGGGTGTGGTGTGTGTGTTGTATATGTGGTATACATGTGCCAGTGAGCGGCCAGCTGGGGTGTGTGTGTGTTTTATATATGTGGTATATATGTGCCAGTGAGCGGGGGTGAGCGGCCAGCTGGGGTGTATGTTTTGTGTATGTGGTATATATGTGCCAGTGAGCGGCCAGCTGGGGTGTGTGTGTGTGTTTTATATATGTGGTATATATGTGCCAGTGAGTGGGGGTGAGCGGCCAGCTGGGGGGGGGGGTGTTGTATATGTGGTAAATATGTGCCAGTGAGCGGCCAGCTGGGGGTGTGTGTGTGTGTTTTATATATGTGGTATATATGTGCCAGTGAGCGGGGGTGAGCAGCCAGCTGGGGGGGGGTGTGTTGTATATGTGGTATATATGTGCCAGTGAGCGGGGATGAGTGGCCAGCTGGGGTGTGTGTGTGTGTGTGTGTGTTGTATATGTGGTATATATGTGCCAGTGAGTGGGGGTGAGCGGCCAGCTGGGGGTGTGTGTGTGTTGTATATGTGGTAAATATGTGCCAGTGAGCGGGGGTGAGTGGCCAGCTGGGGTGTGTGTGTGTGTGTGTGTGTGTGTTGTATATGTGGTATATATGTGCCAGTGAGTGGGGGTGAGCGGCCAGCTGGTGTGTGTGTGTGTGTGTGGTATATGTGGTATATATGTGCCAGTGAGCGGGGGTGAGCGGCCAGCTGGGGGGTGTGTGTGTTGTATATGTGGTATATATGTGCCAGTGAGCGGGGGTGAGCGGCCAGCTAGGGGTGTGTGTGTTGTATATGTGGTATATATGTGCCAGCTGGGGGGGGGTGTTTTGTATATGTGGTATATATGTGCCGGTGAGCGGCCAGCTGGGGGGTGGCAGGTGGGACCTAATGGATCCCATCAACCCTGTGTGTCTCCCTTTCCCCTCTGCAGCCTGAGCGTTGGTGGGGACGGGGGCGTCTTTGAGCAGCAGGTGGCGGGCGCCGTCCTGGACCTGATGGGGGACGAGGCCCAGAACCTGACCCGGGGCCGCCAGCAGCTCAAGTGGTGAGTGAGCTCGCCGGTGCAGCCCTTCCATGCCCGCCTGTCTGCCACGTGGTCCCCCCCACTGGCACGTGACCCCGGCCTGTCCTGACTCCCCTTTGACCCCACCCCCTCATTGATCCGGCACAACACAAATGACGACCTGTGACCCCCTCATCTGGTCCCCATGGCATCACACAATGAGGATGGTGAACCCTACCCACCCCTGTTCAGAGCCTAGAAATGGCCTGAACGGGCCCCCCCAGTTCCCAGGGACTCCCCACACACTGCCTCTGAGACCTGGGCTACCCGGGAAAGGTGAGGAGCAGCCGGGGACAGGCCTTCATGGAGCACCTACTGCATGCCAGCCACGGCCACGCTGCTGTTCTGCGGTCCTCCAGCATCCCAGTGAGGGTCAGGGAGGGAGCAGGCCGCCCCAGGCCCCCTCTGCCCACAACAGCCCCCCAACCTCTCTCCTCAGGGACCGGAAGAAGAAGCGGTTTGTGGGACAGTCAGGACAGGAGGACAAGAAGAAGATCAAGACAGAAAGCGGTCGCTACATCAGCAGCTCCTACAAGCGCGACCTGTATCCTGAGGGGCTGGGCCGAGGGGCGCCCCCTATAGGCGGGGCCTCTCTGCTGGGGGGGGCGGGGCCTTCTCCCAGCTCAGGGGTTTCGGGGGTTCAGGATCCACCCGCCGCCTCCTTAGCACGCCTCCCAGCTATCAGAAGTGGAAGCAGAAACAGAAAATCGACGACCGCGACCCAGAGGAGGAAGGGGCCTCGGACCGGCGAGGCCCAGAGCGGAGAGGCTGGAAGCGGGGCCGAGGCCAAGGTAGGATGCTCCTCAGCACGCACATTGCCAACTGGTCCGCCTGGTCCCCTGGCAACGTGGTCCTCCGATCCCTCAGCTGGTGACAGGCCGAGGGACTTCCTACCGCGCTGCCTGCCGGAGCCCGCGCTCCATGACGGCACCCTGGGCCAGCCGCCCTGCGTGCCGGGACCTCGGCTGTCCCTCGGGGCGCTGATGTGCTCTGAAGGAGGGGCGAGCCTGTCCCGTCCCCCGAGCCTTCGGTCAGAGAGCTCCGCGCGCCGTGTGGAGACGGGCTCTGCCAGACACTCCCCATGCAGGGCCCGGGGCGCGAAGACTGAGAATGCCCGCCTTCCAGGCAGGGACACTGAAGTGGGTCAGGGGCAGTGACTGGCCCGGGGCTCCCCAGCTGCCTGCCACCTCCCCTGGGGAGAGGGGAGCCTGGCTCTACATCCTGGGTTCTCAGTTACTGCGGTCCCCAGTGTCTGGCACAGAGAGGCGCTCAGTCAAGCTTTAATGAGTATTAATAATCAATTAATTAATTGATTTTATTAAAATAATTATGGCCAGGAGGCCCTCACTAAGGGCGAGGCCTGGTTCCGAGCATTGCACACATATCAAATCGTTGACTCGTTAGGACCCATGAGGGAGGGAGGTGCTATTATTCATCATTTACAGAGGGGGAAACTGAGGCACAGAGAAATTAAGAGACTTGCCCAGGCCTCAGAGGCCACAGCTGGGATTTGAACCCCGGAAGTGCTGGCTTGAGGTTCCAGAACTAAACTGTAGACTGCGTCAGCCCTGTTAAGCACCTACTGTGTGCCAGAGGCTGGGCCACAGCCGTGGACACAGGATGGGATGGGGGGCAGGGGAGCAGTCCGGAAGCTTCTGGGAGGGGGAGACATTGGGAACCAACCCAGAGGCTGAGCTCCCTGGATTCTTGTCCTGGCAGGTGCCTCCCAGCCGCGCCCCCCGGGACCCCCCGCAGGCCGCGTGCGCTCCGAGCTGAAGACCAAGCAGCAGATCCTGAAGCAGAGGCGCCGGGCCCAGAAGATGCGCTTCCTGCAGAGCGGGGGCCTCAAGCAGCTCTCGGCCCGCAACCGGCGCCACGCCCGGGAGCTGCAGCGGGGCGCCTTCGGCCGGGGCACCCACGCCAAGAAGGGCAAGATGAGGAAGAGGATGTAACGGAGACGACCCAGCCCCCGGCCCCTCACGTGCTCCAAGTGTGAACATCAGCCAGCGCTCCTCGTGCGCCGCTATGTGCCTGGCCCCGTGCAGGGCGTTTGGGGAGCTCCCTGCAGAGCCGTCGCCCATGAAAAGGTGTGCTGTATGGCCACGGAGGGGCAGCAGCTGCCTCTGCTTGAGACAGGGACATTTGAGCAAGGTTTTGAAGGGTGCATAGGAGTTTGCGCCCTGAAATGGCAACTCGGCCCCTGCTGCTTCCGTGTGCCCTGGGTTCAGAGGTGGTGGTCACACAGGTCTGAGCCGTGAGTGCCGAAGGCAAAGTGATGTATTTTTAAGGAAATAAAGCTTTCTTGAGCACCTCTGGCGGGCCAGGAGTGCAGTCCACTCTCAGAGTTGGAAGGGACAGACCCAGGCACTGAAATCCCTGCCAGTGCACCGGGTTAGTTGAGGGCGTGTGGGCAAGTCCCGTGGGATCCCCCGAGGTTGGGTACAGTGGGTGTCCCCAGTTTGCAGATGAGGAAAATGAGGCTCAGGATGAGTCAGTTACCTAAGGTGGGGGGACCCCAAAGCTGGCTGACTGTCCCCTTCCTCCTGCTGGGCAGCCTTGCAGTTGGCAGTGGATGGGGGGAGGGGGGATGACACAACAGGATGCAGGGCCTGGGCAGGGGCACAGCTGCTCCTCTGGCTGTGCAGGGGTTAACCCTGCCCCTCCACACACCAAGCAGGAAGTGCCTGGCCAGGCCTGTCCTGCCCGAGGCCTGTGCTCTGAGGCCCTGCAGGGTCCTGGGAAGGTCCCGGGCAGCCTCCAGCAGCTGCATATCAAGCCGGGGGAGGGGCCTTGGGAGCAGGTGTCCTGAGAGTGGGTTTCGGCTCCTGAGACCCTCTTGCCGGACCTATTGATTTTACTTGACTTAACCCAACACGCCTGGAATTTACCAGCATTTGCACCTGGCCCCATGACCTGCACCTGACAAAACCTGCTTGTTTAATGCCCCCAACGGCCCTGGAGGAAGAACCCGGCCCCGGGCCAGGTGCTGGGTGTGGGTGGGTGCCCCCTGTCGGCCACATGTTCTGAGTGCTTGCTGTGTGCCCCTCATGTCCCACCGCCATCTGAGCGGGCACGGCCCTCCCATCTCCAGGGGAGAGCCACTCTGCCCCACCCGCAGGAAATGTGCACCTTCTCCCCGGGAGGAGAAGCCCCTGAGGGGGTCCCACTACTCACCAGGGTCGGGCTAGGTGGCCGGGGTCTCGGGCTCACTCCGGGGGAGGCTGGCCAGCAAGGCAGAGCGGTCCAGGAGGAACAGCTTCACCTGCGGGTCCCCAGCAAGCCACAGTCACATCCCAGCCCGCGCCCTGTGCCCCGTGCCCACCCTCCATGCTGCAGACCGGGGTTGAATTGGGTCGGGGCAGGGTTGAGACCCTTTGAAAGACATTGGTATGAGTGGGTCCCGGTTCTTAAAGGCCCAGTCATCCCCCCAAACGACTCCTTAGCAGATGCCTTCACAGTGGGTTACCACCTGCATTATAATTAAATCTACATTCTCACTTCCATCCATTTATTTCCCCCCTTTAATCGGATCAGTCATACTGGTTGGTGTCTGGCCTGCTTTCTCCGTGGGCGGCCCTCCTCTGCTCTGAGTTAATTCACTTACTGACACGGACTTACACCGCCGCCCGGAGCCGGACCCCACGTGGACCTTCCCTTGGGCGCTCCCTGCACCTGCTCCCCTGAAACCAACGTCTGAGGAGGAAACTCTATTCCAGCAAAGATGGGGAAGGTCAAGTCCCCCTTAAGTAGGAGCAACGAAAAACAGCTCCAATGAAAACAAAACTATTACCAAGTTTGGCCCGTTGCTGTGGCTGACCCGGTGAGTCCTAGGCCCCCCACCAGGGAGTGAAGGCCTAGTGGCCCCGTGTTGGTTGAAAAGGGACCGGCTTTATGCCAAAACCAGTTTGGCTCAGTGGATAGAGCATCGGCCTGTGGACTGAAAGGTCCCGGGTTGATTCCAGTGAAGGGCATGTACCTTGGTTGCAGGAACATCCCCAGTAGGAGGTGTGCAAGAGGCAGCTGATTGATGATTCTCTCTCATCGATGTTTCTAACTCTCCTCTCTTCCTCTCTGTAAAAATTCAATATACATATAAAAAAGAAAGAAAAGGGACCAGCTTTTGCTGTCACCGCATGCTGAACCTCGGTCCCTCCTAGCGTCACCTGGGTGTGGACCTCGGTACCCGAGCCACACCAGGGAGAGCAGGGGCCCCCAAAAACCCACCCAACACAGGATGTGGCACAAAGTGGGTGCCGGGGCCCCAGTTCTTGTCATTTTGTTGGAAACCTGGCCATTGGGGGCAGGGCAGGGCAGGGGTGGGGTGGTGGGGAAGAGAGTGCCTCTGTTTCCCCCAGTCCTCAAGGGGGTCATGCTTTGGGAGCCCCCAGATACAATGTCTCCAAAGTCAGAAGCCTCTCCTCTGTCAGCCTTGCAAACCTGACAGAAAAACGGTGTGCCGGTCCACCGTGACCCCTGTGAGGCCTCGGTGCGGAGACCACTGCTCCACCCCACCCTCGCCCTCCACAGGGAAGCAAGGCCCGGCCGATGAGTGCCAAGTGAACCTCGCCCGGCTGGTGTGGCTCAGTGGTTGAGCATCAGCCTCTGAATGGGGAGGTCACGGTGGTTTGATTCCCAGGCAGGGCACATCCTCGGGTTGCTGATCCCTACAGCCGATGAATGATTCTCATCACTGATGTTTCTATCTCTCCCTTCCCCTTCCTCTCTGAAAGCAATAAAAAAAAAAAAAACTTTTAAAAAGTAAGTCTCCACCTCCTGGCTTTTACTGATGTCACGTGTCTGACCCTTGGCATAAATAAATGTATGGAGTCCGTCACCCTGCACCCTGGCCCTCCCACATAAGCAGGACACTGACACCCAAGGGGAACCTGGCCACCTGGCAGGTAGGTGACTGTCAGGAACTGGGGGCACCCACCTGGGGGGGCTGAGCTCCTATCTGTGGTGCCTCTGGTCACAGAGGGCCAAGCTTAACCCGGAGAGGCGGGGCTTCCGGAGGCGATGTACGGAAGGTGGGGGTCTGGAGGTGACAACAGGGCTCTCACCTGCTCCAGCTGCCCCTCGCTGTCCTCCATGGCCAGGGCAGGCGGCTGCCTCTGGTGCTGGCACACTAACTGGTACAGGTTGAGCGCCGCCATCCTCACGCGGCCCAGGAGCAGCGTCTTCTCGGCCGCCGTGTTCTGGATCTGAGCCCACTGGGATTCCTGGAGGACGTTCAGGTGTGATGGCTGCAGGAGGGCTGGGCCCCGCGGCCAGTGTCTTCCCGCCAGCCACCCACCCGGGAGCGCTCCCGGGGAGAGGACGGCAGGTGCGGGGTCAGGTACCCAGAGGCGTCCCGCCCTAACGTGCTTTCTGATGCCAAACCTGCGCAGCATCCGTTCCGCTGCCCTAAGCATCGCCCCACCTGCTCTTATCCCCCCTCCCCCCCTCCCCGGCGCTCTACCCTGCGGGGGGGGGGGTGGGCGGGGGTCCCGGGGGGGAGGCGGGGGTCCCTGCGCCGGGGCCGTACCCAGTGCACCGCGTGCTCCCGCGCCGCCTCCAGGCGCCCCAGCAGCTGCGCGCGCTGCTGGCCCCGCCGGAGCAGCTCGTCCCGCCGGGCGTCCCGCAGCCGCCGCAGCCGCGCGCGCGCCTCCTCCAGCTGCGCCCGCAGCTCGTGCTCCCGCAGCCGCAGCGCCGCCAGCGTGTCCGCCAGGGCGCCGAAGCGCGCCACCAGCTCGGGCACCTCCTGGAACTGGAACGGGGCCCGGAGGGGGTTCATCGGGCCTGCAGCCCCCGCTCTCCCCAAACCACTGGGCTCTCCGCGCCTCCCCAGCCCACCTGTGACATGGGGGCGTCCCACAGCCGCTGCCCATTAAGCGGAGGTTGCTCCGCCATCCGTTAAGCCTGGCTAAGCTCCCTGCCTGCGGCCAATATCCATTCTGAGCACCTGGGTCTGCCCCCTCCCGCGCCTGCGGGGTGTCCTTTCTTTCTTTTTAAAATATCTTTATTGATTTTTTACAGAGAGGAAAGGAGAGGGATAGAGAGTTAGAAACATCGATGAGAGAGAACCATCGATCAGCTGCCTCCTGCACACCCCCTACTGGGGATGTGCCCGCAACCAATGTACATGCTCTTGACCGGAATCGAACCCGGGACCTTTTAATCCACAGGCTGACGCTCTATCCCCTGAGCCAAACCGGTTTCAGCCGGGGTGTCCTTTCTGAATCTCGGTTTACCCATCTGTAACATGGGGCTGACAATAACAGGACCCACTTCGCTGGGCCTTGGGGAGGATTCCAGCACAAAGTGTGCCCCCGGCAGGCATACAGTCGGTGTTCAGTAAGTGCCGATTCCTGCATACAGTCGGCGCCCTAGCAGTGCACCCATTAAAGTCGCCCCTGAGGTGGCTCTGAGCCCCAGACCTCCCGTGGGGCCCTCACCTCCGGCAGCTGCCCCAGCACCCGCTCCAGCAGGCGCGCGCCCGGCCCCAGGCGCTCCAGTCTGCGCCGCAGCGGCGCGCGCTCCCGCCGCAGAGCCTCCAGCTGCGCCCGCAGCCGCTGCGCCTCGGCCTCCTGGCGGCCCGCGCCTTGCCGCGCCTCCGCCACCCTCCGCGCCGCGCGGCTCCTTCGGGCCTCGGCGTCCTGGGGAGAGGGATGGACGGGAGGCCCGGGACCTCCAGGGCTGGGGCGCCTGCGGAGCTCGCCCCCTCCTCCCGCCCCCGCATGAATGAAGTACAGCCACGGGGTGCATACAGGTGGCCCGCGGGCCCAACGCAGCCACAATCTGATTTTGGTCCCTCACTCCTCCCCCACGGTTTTTCAAAAACGTGAATGCTTCTTCAGTGTTCCCACCACTCCCCTTTGTATGAGTACACCAATTTTTAAATTTTTTAAAGTTAATTTCAGAGAGGCAGGCAGAGGGAGAGAGAAAGACATCAATGATGAGAGAGAATTGGCTACAGCAAGGAGCTGATCTCCCCTATCCCCTTCCCCCACCCAGCCCTCTTCCATCAGCAGCACCCTCCCAGTTCAAACTCCTTTCTTTTTATTGCCCCCTCCTGGGGATGGAGCCTGCAACCCGAGCATGTGCCCTGACTAGGAATCGAACCATGACCTCCTGGTTCAGAGGTCCATGCTCAGTCACGGAGCCACGCCAGTAGGGCTGGTACACCCATTAAAAAAAATAATTAGCACATAAAAGTTTATTAAACATTTTATCAATATATTAAATTTATAGAATGGTTTTTGGAGAATTGGCAGCATTAAAATGACGACTCTTGCCGAAACTGGTTTGGCTCAGTGGATAGAGCCCCGGCCTGCAGACTGAAAGGTCCCAGGTTCGATTCCGGTCAAGGGCAAGTACCTTGGTTGCGGGCACATCCCCAGTAAGGAGTGTACAAGAGGCAGCTTATCAATGATTCTCTCTCATAGATGTTTCTAACTCTCTAGCCCTCTCTCTTCCTCTCTGTAAAAAAAAATCAATTTTATATATATATAAAATGATGACTCATCATTCATGAATTTGGATTTAGCCAAAAGGCATTGAAGCCCCCAACTATAGGAGTACATCAATTTTAAAACATTTCTGTGACATGCCTGGCCCCTCAGGATGGTGACTTTGTGACCCTGTGACCTGCCTCCCTGGCAGGCCCCACCCACCTGCAAGAACTTGTCAAAGCGGAGGAACGCCCCCTTCAGCTCCTGCTTCTTCTGTTCCAACTGCTCCCGGCGCTGCATCAGGACCACCATCCTGGTCTGGAACGCCTGGGGTGTAAATGAGGGTGTGTGTGTGTGTGTGTGTGTGTGAGTGATTGGGGGTTCAAGTCATCCAGCTCCTTTAAGCTCATACTTACCTCCTCTCACCTGGGGTCCCTGATCGGGTCCCTGCACCCCTCCTCAAATCCACCCACGGCTCTGCCAGCCACAAGGAAGCCCTGGTGCCCTCCTGCAGCTCCCGAATGTCCGTGTCCCTGTCCCTGGCCTGCCTCAGGGCTCATCTCACCCCTCCCCTCTGACACTCTGTCTTCCAGCCACATGGCTGCCTGTGCTTCGTCCTGGCCTTCCAGTCTTTGTAGATGCTGTTTCCTCTTTGGTTCTTCCTTCCCACACTGTCCCCCTCGGATGGATAAGCCAACGTGCCCTTCAGCAATCCCTAAGACACCGCTTCCTCCAGGAAGCCCTCCCTGATCAGCCACATGTGGAAACGGGGGCTTTCTCTGGGCTCTTACAGCCCTTCTCAGTGCGTCCCCTCCTAGCAGTCACCAGTTGGATACGGTCGGTATCTTCTCTAGACTGTGAGGCCCCTGAGGACAGCGGCCACGGTGACACCCCTAGATCCCAGCGACCGCCCTGCACATAGGTGCTCAGCGCACATTAATTTGTGCCAACAACTGATCTCCTTTGATCTCCATTTGACAGGTGAGGAAACCAAGGCTCAGAGTGGTGACATGACCTGTCTCAGCCCTTGGAGCTAATAAGTTGGCTCTAGGATTTCCCATTCCCCTGCTTACCACCATTTCTTTCGGTCTCAGGACTACAGCAGGGCTCACCTCCTTCTGGGCCCGCAGGCCCTGGTCCACATCCATCAGCTCCTGCCTCTTCTGCAGGAGACACAGCACCGGCAGGGAGCGGCTGGGATTCTGCTCCGGGATCTTCCTGGAGTGGCTCACGAATGAGATGGGAGTTCAGGGCCCTCAAACTCCCCCCTAGGGCCCGAAATGCCCCCAATAGCCACCTGCTGGCTGTGGGATTTTTTATTTTATTTTATTGATTTTATTACAGAGAAGAAGGGAGAGGGATAGAGAGTTAGAAACATTGATGAAAGAGAAACATCGGTCAGCTGCCTCCTGCACACCCCCTACTGGAGATGTGCCCGCAACCAAGGTACATGGCCTTGACTGGAAGTGAACCTGGGGCCCTTCAATCCGCAGGCCGACACTCTATCCACTGAGCCAAACCAGTTTCGGCTGGAATTCTTTATTCATTCAAGGAATTGTACTGAGCACCTAGCAAATGCCCAGTACCATGATGGCACTGGGGCCCCCGCTGGGGACAAGACAGCCAGACAGAAAGCGGCCCTGGGGGAGCTGGCATCCTGGAGGGAGGGGCACACCCAGGATATAAAGCTAACAACGAAGAAGAAGTAATGGCATGGCATGGTAGGTGCCAAGATGCCAAATCCTTCAATGCGGAGGCCAAGAAGTCTCTCTGAGGAGTGACAGCTGAGCAGAGGTCGAAGGGGACAGGTCCTAGGCCGAGGGACAGCCACTGCCCAGTCCCCAGGGCCAGGACCTTGGTGAGTGGAAGGGGAGGATGGAAGGGAGGCGAGAGATGGGAATTACAATCAGAGAAGTTGTGGGGCCCAGAGGGTGGCGAGGGAGGACTTTGGCCTTGACTGTGAGTGAGGTGGGCAGCAGGGGGGGCTTCTGAGCGGAGGAGGGGTCCCCCTGGCCGCTGTGGGGGACAAACGCAATAGGAGGGGCAGGAGAGCTGCAGGAGACCAGGGACCAGGTGATAGGGTGACATGATGTGGTTCTGATCGGGTAGATGTAGTGCAGAGGGGAAGAGGGGTCCGTTCTGGATTCAGTTTGAGAGCTGAGCTGATGGAGCGATGTGGGAGGTGAGAAACGAGTCTGTGCCCAAGCCCCGTGGTCGGCAAACCGCGGCTCTCTGGCCCCTTGAGTGTGGCTCTTCCACAGAATACCACGTGTGGGCGTGCACATACAGTGCAATTGAAACTTCATGGGCCATGCACAGAAGTCGTTTTTTTTGGCCTGAGCGAGTTTATTTAGAAGTGGCATTAGAACACTCACGGGGCCAAAGAGCCTCCTGTGGCTTGCAAGCCACAGTTTGGCTCATGTGATAGAGCCTTGGCCTGTGGACTGAAGGGTCCCAGGTTCGATTCCTGTCAAGGGCACATGCCCACGTTGTAGGCTCGATCCCCAGTAAGGGGGGGAGGGGGTGCAGGAGGCAGCAGATCAATGAGTTTCTCTCTTCAATGATGTTTCTCTCTCTCTCTCTCTCTCTCTCTCTCTCTCTCTCTCTCTCTCTCTCTCTCTCTCTCTCTCTCTCTCTCTCTCTCTCTCTCTCTCTCTCCTTTCCCCTTCCCTTTTCCCGCCCTGCAGGCACGAAAGGAGGTGAGCCCCCAGTGTAGTCCTTTTATTGAAATCTATAAAAAAAAAATCTTAAAAAAATAGAAAGAAAGGAGTTCAAGGTGAACCTAGGACTAAGAGCTGGGAGGGTGCTGCTGATGGACGGAGGCTGGGTGGGGGAGGGGGGAGGGGGATCAGCTCCTTGCTGTGGCCAAGCTGAAATCGAAGACACCTGTTAGGCCTCCGGGGAGGGGTCCAGCAGGCAGCCCCATAGGGTCAGCTGTGTAGGGAGCAGGAGGGACACACGAACTCCATTCGGCAAGCCTCTCCCAGCCCCGGTCCAGGGCAAACGCTGCCATTTTCAGATTCTGAGACTGCGGCTGGGGCCCTCAGTCACTCCACTGAACACAACCCAGGCCTGGGGCGGGCTTCCTTTGCTCTCTCTTTAAATATGCCATGTGCAGGCACCGGGGGCAAACGTTCCTAGAATCACTCCTTCCCACCTGGGCTCTCACCATTTCATCTCAGCTGGATGCCAGTTGGGGTGGGAACCAAGGGCAGGTCAGAGCCCTGGGCTACTGGCCCAGCTCTGCTCTAACCAGCCCCGAGCCCTCAGGGGAGTCCCTAGCTCTGCCTGAGCCTCAGTGGTTTTCCTCTGTGAAATGGGGGCAATGATCTCTCACCGGGAACAGGCTGTGGGAGCCAGGATCCGGGGCTTGGGAGAGAATGAGCCATCCACTGCCTCCTGCCCTCCTTCCTGCCCTCCCGGCCACCCTGAGCCACTCACATAGGCAGCTTGTCTTGCAAGGCCCGTCGGGGATATTTCTCCCAGGACACGGCCATCCTCCCGGCGATTGCTGGGCTTTCTTTCCACCTGGAGGGCTTCTGATGGAGGATGGTGCCACAGCGTGTTCTGTGTTCCCTGCTCCCAGAAGGCAGCCACCAAGCAGGCCCTGGTTGCCCAGGCAACCATCAACGCAACATTCCATTGCCCTGCCCAGGCCCTGGAAATCCAGCCCCTGAGGGAGAGGGAGGGGCTGCCGGGAGGGCAGCAGCCTGTGCCCCTTATGGGGGCACTAACTCCCATCTAAACTGGGGTGCCAGCTGAAACCGGTTTGGCTCAGTGGATAGAGTGTCGGCCTGCGGACTGACAGGTCCCAGGTTCGATTCCGGTCAAGGCCATGTATGTTGGTTGCAGGCACATCCCTAGTAGGGGGTGTGCAAGAGACAGCTGATCGATGATTCTCTCTCATCAATGTTTCTAACTCTCTATCTCTCTTCCTCCCTCTCTGTAAAAAAATCAATAAAATATATTTAAAAAATAAAAATAACAATAAACTGGGGTGCCAGAGAAGAGGACGTAGGTCCCTTGGCCAAAAATGTACCCCTCTTAGTGACCCATGTCTGGCCTGGCCTCTTCCTGGCTGGGTGGGATGCGATCTTGCGAACATGGCTCTGTGCTCAGATGTCTGCTGATTGGGCACTCACTGTTTGTCAGGTCTCGGGGGGGGGGGGGGGGGGAGCGCGTGTCACCTGCTCCCTGGCAGGTGCCGAGGGCCTACCATGTTCCAGCGCCCTGAGGGCCCACTTCCTTCGCTGGGGACGGGGCTCCCCTGGCCACGTCTCATTGGAACCAGCCCAAAGGTCCTTCAATCTGAAAGGTTATAAAAACACTGCCCCTTCCTGCTATGGGATGCTGCTTAGTGATCAAAAAGAACCAACATGGGTCCGAGTAGCCATGGGGATGGCTCTCAAGGGGATGCAGTGGAGTGGAAAGGGCCACTGTCCCCCTACAGGAATCTCTCTCACGACTCGCGTGGAAAGATTTCCAATTCAGGGTCCGGGTTCTGGAGAAGGGCCGCACACAAATGAAGAGACTTGAGACTTGGAAGAAATTCAACTTGGCGATATGGGGGGCCAGATGGTAGTCTAACTCTAGTGGGAGAACTACTCCTGCTCTGGCCCTGCCATCCCCTTTTAGTGAGGCTTTGGGGAGAACATGTTAGGCAACATAAACAGAAATTTACATGGAGCCCATAGGCAGGAAATAACAGAAACTTACATCGGACAAACAAGGTGGAGGCTGCTTCAGCTAACAATATCTCAACTAAAGGTTAGAGCAATGAAGGTTGTTGACCAGCCTTCCTGGCTTCCTGTCAACATCTCCTTTTTAGTGAAACTGATGTGTTTCCCAGCAATATGCTCCAATAAAATGCTTAGCAGTTGTTTTAAACAATGCAGGCATTATAAGAAATTATAGTTTTTTAAATAGTGTTACCTGCAATAACAAAATACATTCCTTTTTTTTTTTTAAACTAAGTATCACTTCCACAATTTTAAAATGGGAAGGATATATGAGTTTGTGTTTTTTAATGTATATTTATTTCAAAGAGAAAGGGAGAGGGAGACAGAGGTAGAAACACCAATGATGAGAATCATTGGTCGCCTGCCTCCTGCACACCTCCTACTGCAGATCGAGCCCACAATCCAGGCATGTGCCCTTGACCAGAATCGAACCCGGGACCCTTCATTCTGCAGGCCGAGGTTCTATCCACTGAGCCAAGCTGGCTAGGGCGTACCCATGGGTGTTTGTCATTTTACTGAGAACTTTCCCCTAATACCACCCGACACCGCACTACTTTGTGAGAGTTCTGATGGCTCCGGAGCCAGGAGCGGGTGCTGCCAGCTGTTGACATGTCCTTCTCCCAGCTGTGCGGCTGTGTGAATGGCGGAGCCCTGTGCTGACCCACAGTCATCGCCTAACCCACACCAGCTGCTCCCACCCCAGCCTTCAAATCCTGATCACGGGGCGCGTCCACGCTGGTCTCCAGCTGCTCCTCTTCACCTCCCTCCCCGGGCCTGGGGCTCCCTCCGTGAGACGTGGCCAGGGGAGCCCCGTCCCCAGCGAAGGAAGCGGGCCCTCACAGCGCTGGAACACGGTAGGCCCTCGGCACCTGCTAGGGAGCAGGTGACACGCCCCTCCGCACCCCCCCTCCCCCCAAGACCTGGCAAACAGTGGGTGCCCAATCAGGGCAGACATCTGAGCACAGAGCCACGTTTGCAAGATCCCATCCCACCCAGCCAGGAAGAGGCCAGGCCAGACATGGGTCACCAAGAGGGGTACACTCGTGGCCATGGGACTCACGACCTCTCCTCTGGCACCCCAGTTTAGACCTGGAGTTAAAGCCTGGGAAGGGGCACAGGCTGCTGCCCTCCCGGCAGCCCCTCCCTCTCCCTCAGGGGCTGGATTTCCAGGGCCTGGGCAGGGCAATGGAATGTTGCGTTGATGGTTGCCTGGGCAACCAGGGCCTGCTTGGTGGCTGCCTTCTGGGAGCAGGGAACCCAGAACACGCTGTGGCACCATCCTCCATCAGAAGCCCTCCAGGTGGAAAGAAAGCCCAGCAATCGCAGGGAGGATGGCCGTGTCCTGGGAGAAATATCCCCGACGGGCCTTGCAAGACAAGCTGCCTATGTGAGTGGCTCGGGGTGGCCGGGAGGGCAGGAAGGAGGGCAGGAGGCAGTGGATGGCTCATTCTCTCCCAAGCTCCGGATCCTGGCTCCC